GGATGCAATTGTTAGTTAAAGAAAAAGCTACCAAAGCTATCAACAATGAATCCACAAAAATAGAGCAAAATGGCACACTCAAGATTAGTGGAAGATTAAAATGATGGTAATAAAAATTCATTCAAAATAATCCCAAATAATAATAATAATAATAATAATAATAGTATCATTGAAGTTTAAATCAAAATTGACTATGCTTTAGAACAAGTGAAATGCATGAAAAAATGTATAATTTTCAATATTTGCATTCACTCAACCCAAAATATATAAAATAATGATTTAGGGTCTGTTTGGGGCAGCTGTAGCTTATTTAATAATCTGCTGATAAGTTAGGTGTTGTGGCTATTACAAATTTTTATTTTTTTTGGAAAAACCAAACCGCTGCCAGAAACCTGTCACTGCAGCTAGATATGTGCGGTGTGAAAACACTATTTTTAACTTTTTGAAAACACGTAAGCTACCAAAATGTAGTTTACCCAAACACTCCAAGTGTGTTTTCAAAACGCCACCACAACAAATAAGCTGCCCCAAATGGGCTATTAATCATTTATGATTGGACATTCTCTAGAGCATTATAAATAATTTTTTTTCCCTCAATGATGAACATAAATTACACGTTATAACTCATAACAAAATTAACCAACAATAATAAAAGATAAATAAATGAATAAAGATTAGACTTATATTTGATAATGAAATGTTACCTTCGTCCTTGATGTTGTTTGTTGAATTGCATGATAGAGTTCACATTGGGGCAACCTTACACACTTTTGTCATTCTATTTGTATGGATCCTATTTTGGAAGATCAACAAAGGAAATGTTGCTTTCTAGACATAATATATGGTGTTGATTATTGAATGATATTATATTTAACCCCAAGCTTTTTAAATAAATAAGTTGCTCAAGTCATGGAAGTAGGGAATATTGTGTTATTTTAAATATATTTGTATATTTTAAAGTATATCAGACTTTCATTGAAGTAATATAAACATAATATATAGCTTTAATTTTTATTTACATGCATAACATCCAATTCTCGTGTGATATGTCATCAATAAATTCTAACACCCAACACGAATCTCTATGCATGACACAAATCTTGAGATAGTTTTTTAGCAATGAACATTCAAGTTTTGATTAAAAGTCATCCAAAACTCTGATTTCAACAAAATTATGGTAAAACTGACCAGCTTGATCAGGCGGACCCAACAATAACAAAATCGATCCAATCAGAGTTAAATCAAGCAAAGATTCGACTGTTAAACTACTTTTGAAAGCTTTTCGGATATAATTAAAAGGTTAAATGAATTCTAAATATGGCATGGTTACAAATCGAGCGTCTTGTCAAAAAGAATCTAACAAGTCTAAGATTACTCAATTTTAATATCATTAAGGCACCAAAATATCTATTGAACATCATTTAATTAAAGAAATCTCTCTGGGTCGCCCATGGCCAACTCGAATCATTGTCATTTTCCGGCCGCCCTCACCTCCAACTCCGACCTTTGTTCGCCAGCCACTGTCAGCCAACTCCAACCACCACTGCCATCTTCGACCAACTCCGACCATCACCATCTGGCCAACACCAGCCATTGTCGTTGCCCTCCAGCCATCAGCACTCCGCTGCCAACTTTGGTCACCGCCTCCGCCCTCTGAACAATTCTAGTCGTTGCAGCCCTTCTGCCAACAAGAGTTGTTGTTGCCTCTAACCAACTCGAGTTTTCACCTTTGATCAACTCCAGTCATCGTTGCCCCTAGCAGCTTTGTCTGCCACCGACACCGATAATCGTCACCGCCAGTCATCGTCGACTATCATCGGCCACCACCTGCTCCTTGCAGCAAAATCCCTTGTGACACACAACGTGCATTGTGGAACCCGACGTACATTGCAAAGTAACATGCACCCCAATTATGGTGCAGCGACACCTCCCAAAGAAACAATACACACCAAATAAGATGACTTTCTCCAGACTCTAAAGCTCCCTCTGTGCGGCTTTTAACTCTACATCATGTGGCTTATGGACATCATCGCAACTCCTCAATACAGCCTAAGTGACAAACTACGACCAACATGGTCAATAATTCGTGCAGCTCCCGACTCTGGCCTCCACGGCATACTAACGTTGTCAGAGCTCGGCATTACAACATATGTGATCAACTACGGCCTACGTGATTCACAGCTCATATAGCTTCTAACTCTGGCCCCCACGACCAATAAACGTCACCACAACTCATGACTACTACGACATACATTACCAACTACGATCTACGTGGTTCACGGCTCATGCAACTCCCGACTCAGGCTCCTGAGACCTAAGAACACCATCATAGCTCACCACTATGACCTACGTGACCAATTATAGCATATGTAGTTCATAGCTAATGCAACTCTTGACTCTGACCACTGCAGCCTATGCACGTCATCAACTCACCACTACGGTCCATGTGACCAATTGTAACCTACGTGGCCCAAATCTTCTACATCTTTCTATTATGACCTCTGTGGCCGAACAACGCTCTTGAAGCAATTGGGGTGTCTCCTCATTCTTTTTTCATCTTTAGTTTTCTGAATGTGTGTGGGAGTTTTGTGCAATACTAAGACAATAATTGATTACTCTGCCACTGCGAACCTTCTAGCACTCAGCACTATATGTTTACATATCTAACACTTAAACTTCATTCATCTCTTTAGTTTCCTGAATGTGTGTGGGAGTCTCATGCAATACTAAGACAATAATTGATTACTCTACCACTGCGAACCTTCCAGCACTCAGCACTATATGTTTACATATCTAACAATTAAACTTCACTTTTTACAATTATACCACCCAAATCATTCATATCTTATTAAAAAAAACATTATTTTAACTTCTAAGATGTGAAATATGCATTTCATGCACAAATAAGTTAGCATATATGTAAAAACTGAAATTTAGGTTATAGATATGTTGTAAATCTTCCTAATTTTTAATATTCATTGTAATTTTTTTTAATTTATTTAATATTGAAAAGTTGTTAGCTTGGTTTGATGGTGCTATATATTGTAATAGGAATATTCAAATTTTGTTTTCTTTTTTAAAAAACCTTTGGTTCTCCTCAATGATCAAGTATATTTTAGGTTCTAAATCAAATATGAGCCACATGCAAGTCACTTTCATTAGTTCAGAACAATTAGGTTAAGTAAATTCCCAAGCTCATACTCATTTCTTGATCATAGTTTAATAAGAAAACTATAGTGTAGAGGACTATCAATTATATTAAACAGCATGATGACATACAAATAAATAACTTTATATTATGGTTTTGCAGTAATAAACATCGTTAGAATTTGTATTTGTTCATGCATTATGGAAGGTATAAGTGTGGGGTTTTTTTTTTCAAAATTTGATTCTTAATAAACAAAATCTTAATTCACATAAGCAGATTAAATAAATATCCATCTCAATTATTTTAAAATTTAAAAACCTGAGCTAGCCGTACTTGAATGTGTTGCACATAGATATAGTTCATTTAAGGAAAATTTGAAGACAAAAAACACTAGCAAACACCACCGAACCACCGGTGTATGGTCGTCATCTACACCACCAAATCCCTGTCACTTGGTTACTGCCAACTTCAAAACATTGTCACTCGGTTGTCATCGTCATTGAGGGATAACCATCACAAAGTTATCATCCCTATCACCGAATTGTCATCACTATCACAAAACATTGTCACCCATTTGTCGCTACTGTTACCATCAAATCATCACTATATTTCCATCACTTTTAGCCGCTTTCAAAAAAATCAAATTAGCATCATACATTCTTGCGATACCGCATTTTCGCATTCAAAGAAAAAACCAAATTTTCAAAATTCTCAACTGTATAGTAAAATTATTTCAACTAAGCTGTGCCGTGTAACTTTTTTCCTTGAATTTTTCACATAGAAAAACATGGGTGACTTGTATTTTCTATTCATCAGTATATGTGTGTAAGATCTTCATGCAAGGCTAAGATGATAATCTCACGTACTCTATCATCGCATATTTTCAACAAATAAGTACTTCAACTTCAAATGGCATAATATCAATGACATAATTCATTTTTATGACTAACCAACTATTATGGGAACAGGGATGAGGCTACGGTTATCTAATGATTAAGCTGTAATAAATCATAGAAAACTGAATGAAGAAAACTTGAGCATAATACAACTTATTGGAATTTTAATATTTCTTTTCAGTCTAATTGTTTCAATGATAATATTATCTTGTTTAACAACCATCATAGATGCTAGTTCCAAATTCATTGAATTTCATTTTGATTTGTACAATTATTTATTATTATGATGACCATATGAGAAATCTTTATACCCAGTTCTTTAAGAACTTAACTCATGTCTAGATGTATATTTGATCAATTTATACAAGCCAAATAGACATCAAGTTTGATCACATAATTATAAATAAAAATGTACTTTAAAAAATAATATTAAAACAATTCAATCCGGCGAACTGATGCCACTAGATCCAATTCGGGTAAAATATTAAATGAAAACAATCGGAAACAAAAGCTCTGAAAACGATACTTTAAATTCAAACAATAATAATATTCAATCTAAACGTATGAAAGTTCAATCAAACACTACTTTACAATTATTATTTAATAGAAATTTCATCAAAAACAGCTTCTAAAATAAACTTAATGTCATAATGGCATGACAGATGAAGAAAGAAGATGGCATAATCAAAAAAATATATAAATATTCTTAAGGTATTCATTTCATGGAATAAAGAAAACTAATCAAAACTAGTAACAAAATTTGGAATAATTTTTAGTGAGAAAATTCTCTCAGAAGCCTAATGTAAGCAGCCTCAGAACCATATCTTACATGGGATTACCATGTAAAACTCAAATCTAGATTGTTTACAGACATTCAGCAATTTTCTAAGCCACAGTAAGCCGAATATCACTCTCTCTAGTAACAATTACAGGTTCCAAAAAAAACTGGATTCTGATTTGTGAAAGAGTTTGTAAACAAACTACGGTCAGATTATCTTTCATAAACATTTTTTTTAAGACTTCGCTATAATCCCCAGAATATATCTTTATCTATATAAAACTCCTGTATCTTACAGAAAGCATTCAGAAGTTTACCCAATCAATATTTCCCAGTTCATTCAGTTCCAGAATAAGTATCCATTCCTTTCCCCTTCTTTAAAAGCATTGAAGAAGATTGCAGTTACGAAGTTAGCTCAGTTCAGTTAAAATTCCATGATACCTACTATGTTCAGCTGTACTCTTGAAGCCTGGGGTGAAATCAGAGAAGAACCTCATGACAGCTGCGAGTTGTTGAGGGTCATTGGTAGCAAGAGCTGCTTCCAGAAACAAAGATGGCCTGACAGTAATAACCTGAAAAGCAGGCAAATTTCACTTGGAACTGTCAATCATACAGCAGGTGCAATAAGGAAAAGTAAAACAAAACGAAATTATTAGAATGAAAATAAATATTTGATGACAGCGCCCCAACTTCCACATCAACTCTACATTGTGACATCAAAAAGATGTAAGAGTTTGAAATTATGTCATTTTCTTATCTGATTTATTTCATTGAATAACTGGGCGCTACCAAAATAAGAAATGGTGGATTCAAACAATACTACCAGAAGGCTCCACTATGAAAACTATTTCAATGAACTAATATAATCATCATCAGCACCGAAAATAGCCTAGTCCCAACTATTCTGAGAATGCTTTAAAAATCCTTGTTTCCTACTTTTTTCCTTGAATGTCTACTAAGTTATTAAAACTATACACACAAATGCTCGCATAACTTTTGACCATGCTAACTATAGTTTGTCCCATTTTTCTCTTAATCCTTTAATACTATTTTATCAACACATCTTATGGGCGTATTATACATCCTTTATTGTACGTTTTAAACTATATTAAGTCACAAATCATTTTTCTATCTTTTCTTCAACCAATGCAATATTCTCAGTGCCTTGTTATATATCCATCTTAATATTCTCATTTTTTTCAAACTCAACCAACCAAAGAGCTATAATTTGTTTCAATCCAACACTCAAATAAATACAGAACTAGCCTTTTAGTCTGATTTTTTATTATTGCATAATACTATTAAATTGTGTCTTTAATATTCAATAGTTTCGCCTTAGCTCTAAAAGTTAAAATCATCTACGCGGCCATTTCTGTATATAATAGATCCAATATATTTAAATTTGTAACATATAGATATCAATATATCTCATAATAAAATTAAATGGCAATTGTTAATAATACACCTATTAAGATTTTATAAAATATACTTGCTCTTTACATTTATATTCAATAATTTTCTTTATTATTCTAAGATTTCACTTAATTCAACAGATGTTTCATCAACTAGAACTATTATCTATAAAAAACACACAGTAAGATATTTCACTTTGAATATACTTTGCAAGCCTCTTAATAACCAATTTTTTTCATTATTCCAACTGTTTATTTTTTAAAAATATATTGTAACCAATTATAAATAATATCTATAAAAAGCATACGCTAAGAAACTTCACTTTGGATAAACTTGTACACCTCTTCATAACCAATACAGGAAAACACGAATTTAATTTTCACCATTTATGTAATCTTACAACAAATAAAAACTCTTAGGGGGAGTTTGGTTGCAATCAGCATTTAAGTTAAATAGGATTTACTAGTAAATCCTGATTCAACAAATCTAGATGCTATTAAATCTAGAATAGTGTTTGGTTCAGTCAAGGTTAAATCTAGTTAAAACCGTTTGATGTGTTTGACATAAATCCATTTGACATGTTTTCTTCCTAAGCTAAATCAGTCAAAACAACCTAATAATCGGATTTATGTCGAAAAGGTGATGGAATGGAGAGGAAATTGGATTTATTGGAGCACCGGATGTAGCTACCCTATTTTTTGCATTTGACTGAATTTACGTTAAATCCAGCCATAAATCCTATCAAAAGGGTGCTACCAAACATGCCTTTAGATCTCTAAATAATTACTACTAATAATACTGGTTAATATTTCATCGTATATATCTTCAAAAACTTCATCATAACTTCAATACAGCCTTTTTTTAATGCACATAAAATTAATTCTAGTGACAGCAATCATATGCTTTCACAAGATCAATAAAAATCATAAAAATATTTTTTTTCCTACTCTTTGCACATGCCTATTCATTGTCACATCAGAACACTTTCATAACGGCTCTTTCTAGCATGAAACCAACTTGGATATTCATTACTAAATATTTTTCTTTTGTAAAAAATTCTTTATTCTCCATGATCTTATTTTCTTACCCATAATTTTGTTTTCTCTAAATCATCATAGTCTTGAATATCTTCTTGATTCTTAAATATAAGTCTTAAATTTTTTCTTTTTCAATCAATTTGCATCTTTTAGCCCCAGTTTTATAATTTTAACTAAAGATGTTGCATGTTATGTTGTGCTAATTTTTACTATACAATATAGTGCTATGGTATAAAAAAAATAGATAATTGTTGGGTAAAGTTGTTTTACTTTGATATTTGAACTGCTATCATTAAAAAAATTGGTATGAAAAAAATTAACATAATTAATAATTAACATAAAAATTTCAATTATATTTATCTTTAAAATAAGTCATTACACTAAGAACTTAAAATTATTTACAATGAATAAAATTATTATCCAAAAACTAATTAAAATTATAACAAAAAACTACTTAAAATTATAGGATAATTTATACAGCAATGAGTTTTATTATGAAGCACTAAACTTTATAATATCCACCCGTAAAAGATGTTTACATAACAATTGATAATAAAAACCATGATAAGTAGTATTTCGTGAAAATATCAAAATGGATTATGGCCGCACAACAGTTTCTCCTGTTTGAAAGCCGAGAAGAAAAACTACATTTTACTATCATGTATCCTCGAAAAGCTGCAGCTGAAAGCTACGTTTTACTACCATGTATGGCTACCTGCGGTGGCTGCTATAAAGTTACGGTCAAACTTTTTTCAAATTTTTTTTTTTTGTAGTAGCCACTGCAACTTTTTGAATAGTTGTTTCTTCTTCGACTGCTTCTTCAAATAGTTGCAAGTTCCCCAAACAGACCCTAAGAGTAGTTTTATCTTAAAACCTTGAGGCATTTACATACATATGACCAAATTCATATTTATGTTCATATCTAACAGCTAAACTTTAATTTTTGTAATATACCACCCAAATCTTTCATATTAGATAAAAAATACCAACATTTTAACTTAAAAAATGTTAAATACACCTTTTATTCATAGGTAATATGAAGTAAAAATTGAAATTTAGGTATTAGACATATAAATACATATGATATGGGTGGTATGTATGTAAATCTTCCTACAACTTTCAACACTAATTTGAATGAATAATACTCCTTAAGAGCAAGCTCGTTTTTAATTTTAGTATAGTAGAGCTTTTAAAGATAAAAATTATTCATTTTTTTTACAAAATGCAAAGAAATTGATTCAATTGTCTTAAAACAATAAAAAACTAACAGAAATGCTGAACAAGGCTTTAATTCTCAAATTTTCATAAAAAAACTTTCTTAGCCAAACCATTGCAGTATCACCAACAACTCTCCAAATCTTAATAGGTATTTCATTTGAACCAAATTTTTTATCATAAAGCATCTTTATTAGAACTAATTTTACATTATTTTTTAAACTAGGCTATAATATACTTTATTATTTTGTACATTATAGTTTTTTAAAATATTTTTTTCCTTAGAACACTCACTAAATGATTCTTAAAACACTTACTTAATAGATCAATAGAATGTCATTTTCTAAAAAAACAACTAAGCTGTCGACCATCCATTATTTTTCATTGAAATGAACAAGACATGTCTACATTAGAAGTTATTTAATGGCATGATTGGTTTTTCCAGCTACCATATACTTGAATGCTTATAACAATAATCATGGTTTCATAGCTAGGGTGTGTCTATATGTGCAAAAAACCTCTAACAAACTATCTTCATTGCACTAAGCACAATAGTATTATAAGATAAAACTAGTCAAATAGTAAATGGCACACTATAACGCAAATGTCTTTGTTGAGTCAGAGTGCAATGATGCATAGCACGGCGCGCACCTTTTTTAACACGACATAAAATATTAACAATTTATGAATAGAAAAAAAAAAACAATCAAATTTAAAGATAAAATAACATGATAATAAATATAACAACAATAATAATTGAATTCAAGTTCACAACATCTTTACTTTAAATTCAAAATATTAATATTTTTCGAATCTAATGTTTTCATTAAATATTTAACCAATCATCATCATCATCATCACAAGTAAACAAATCTTAATTTCTTCGTCAATATCATTAGTATCTTATCAAGCATAATCTTCTTCATCAACCTAATTGTGCAAACAAAGCTCATAAGCGATCACTCTGTATCATAATCATATCAAACTTAACCATGAAAAGATGTACTTCACTTTATAAAAAGTAGTATTAGCGATATTTTTATATAACGTTAAAACATAAATGTTATATAAGTAAATATTTAAGTTTAAAAGTTAGATAATTTTTATCGAATGTACAAAAATCCCCTTTTACTTTTATATTAAACATTAAAATTAAACTTTGCATGCCAAGGGGGCAATGCACCATACGTCGTTGCCCGTGCATGGAGCAAATAGCGCACACCATTTTAATGGTCGTGTTGTGCGACATGCAAGTGGCACTGAGGATGTGCCAACCCCCATGCCAGACATCATAAAGCACGTCATTGTGTCAGTAACATTTTGTTTAAGACGTGTAAGTAATGGAAAGAACTAATATAAGATACTTCCAGGACTAGAAATAAATCCTAGCTCATAAACCACAATGGAAAATCAAATTGTTCTAGGAGCATATTGTTGACCTCAATTTTAGTGAGGTCTTAGTCTC